TGACCATTTAATCTCAGTTCCTCAAATAGGAGCTCCTTAGATTCAATCTTCAAAGCTTTTTTCCAACGGCCTACCTCCACAAATTCTCCCATCTCAGTTCCTCACCCTCTCACCAACCCTCTCTTTGCTTCACCCTCTCACCCTCTCACCATCTCAGACAATGGCAACAGATGAAAATGAAACTCAGTTCCTCACCCTCTCACCCTCTCACCCTCTCACTTCTCTTCCACAGCATGGTTTGGTCTTAACTCTTCAGAAGCCAATGTCCACCCTCTCACCCTCTCAGCAACCCTCTCTTTGCTTCACCCTCTCACCCTCTCACCCTCTCACCTTGGTTGATCTTCTATAGGTTTACAGGACAACTTTAGAACGTATTCTTTGTCTATTACCTTAAATCTTAGCTTTGTTTAATGATTTGAAACAAAAAATAATTTAAAAAGGTGTCACTATGCTTCTTTTATCATTTCATAAAATATCATTCTATACTTTTGCATATTTTAATTGCTTCTACCATGTCTATAATTTTTACAATATTTCCATACGATATTTCTGACATGTTCCCTATATTTGGACAACCGATATTTCCACCAACATCAACATTTTAAAGCTTGCTCAAACCTCCTGGTAGTGAAACACCTCGTGTCACACCCCATGCTTAAAAACATTGATTTCCACAAACATCAACATTTTATACCTTGGTTTCATTATGTAATACTACCTTAGTCCCCAACTTCCTGTTCCCTATCAGAAAACTCCTAAAAGGTCACATATCTTTCTTTGTTGAAATTAAATTAGAATAACTTAATTCTGTGGAGAGCACAATCCAGCTAATGTCAAGACTCGGTAATCAGTCCTAATGTTTGTTCAAAAGGTTTCCCTTTAATATAGGAGGGACCATAAACATGAACCATGGAATTGTAGATCAGTTCTTGGATATAGCCACATAGACTCTAATGAGGCTGTTAACAGTCCTTAATCTCTACTAGATGAATAATCATTAGGTTTGATTTAGAGAATGAAGACATAATATAATGAGAAGAAACATGTACCACTGAATGCACAATCCACAAGTTTCAAAGTCTAGTAATATTTTGGCATGACCTAAGCATGGTTACTGAAAGATCTCCACAAGCATGAAGCCCGGCAAGGACCAATGATGGTCCCATATTTGAGTTACTGCACAAAGAAGGCTTTTTTCTCTCTACCTCCAATCCTTCAAGATATGGTTCACCTAGATCAATTTCTTTCATCTCCAATGGTTCAAAATCATTTTTTTGTAATAAAGCATCACTAAAAGCCTTCAACGCATCACTTGACATAACACAGCAAGTAACAGTCTGGGGAACGTTCAAATGCGCGTTCTCTGTGCTGGCCAAACATCAGAAATGGTAACTCATAGAAAAATATAAGTTGTGCAAGAACTAAAACTAAGAGGAAATCTAAGATACCTATCATGAAGACTACAGAAAAGGCTAACTTGTTGCAGTAATAATTGTAGTTAATATGCAGGGGACTATGCCAACCATTTGATGAGTCCACCTAGGTGATTTCCCATGCCAATAGCCAATAATTGGATGGCCAAACCATTTTTGATCATATAATCAGGATAACTCTTGGCATGGACCATCAAATGGAGGGTTCCACATCCCTGCAAATAGCAAATCATGAATCGGGTGCTTATTTATCCGGAAGGTACTTGGATTTCCTCATGACAAATAACCAATGACAAGTAGATTTTTGCTATATTGAGACGTACTTGTTTTTGCTGCATAGTGTTTCTTTATCCTCTCTGCACGTGCACTTGTAACTGCTCCATGATGAGAAGAAGCATCAATTGCAACTACAGAAAGGTTGTACTGGAAAGACAGTACTTGTGCCAGATAACCCTAAAAAACAACCATAAATACAGAAAAAAAATTGAGCTAGGACCCAACATGCATAATGTATAATTTTGTTAACATAAAGGTTTTATTAATAAGAGTATAAGACAATTAGAATGCACAAGTAGTGGGCTAACACCCTAATTTTAAAAAGAGACCCTAACGCATAGTTACTCAAATTTTCCAAAACAGCCAAGAACTCCCTACAACTCTCTACAGAAAAAGGTCCATCTCCCTTTCTCTTGCTTCAAACTAGGATCTAATTGACAACAAAAGCACCCTTGAACACACTTAAGAGTTTAAGTGCTTACCTCCTTGAAATATCCTTCAAAAATAATGTAGTTTCTGTGGTTCCATCATATAAGCATGTCAATTCCACCCAAGCCTTAATGCACCAATTTGTTATTAGCTTATGATCATATTGATTGTATACATGGATGACATTGTCGCTACTGTTGATAATCCATCTGAAAATTCTCAGCTTATGGTTTTTCTAACATCAAAATTTGAGAATAAGGACCTTGGACCTCTCAAGTATTTTCTTGGCATTGGGGTGGTTAGGTGAATGAAGAGTTTTTTCATCTCTCAAAAAAAGTATGTTCTAGATCTACTAAAGGAGACAAAAAAAAGAAAAAAAAAACTAGGGGCCAAACCAATGGGCACTCCTATAGATTCCACCCATTATCTTGGAGCTAATGATGGTAAGTTGTCATTATATAGAAGGCAATATTAGAGGCTGATTGTAGGCTACTATATCTTTGCTTCATTCATCAAAATATTTCTTATGTTGTTAGTGAGGTTTGCCAATACATGCATCAACCAAGATCTTCTCAAATACAAGTAGAACAACTCTTATGGCACTTGAAGGGTGCTGACTTCTTTACTCTAATCATGGTCATATCAAGGTAGAGGCATATATTGATGTCAACTAGACTGGATCCATAGATGACAGATTGTCTACTTCCCATTAATGTATATTTGTTAGGGGAAATGTTGTGAAGTAAGAAACATCCTATAGTAGCTTGATCTAGTGTTGAGGCCAAACAAGGCTATGGAGTATGGCATATGGTGTTTCTAAATTGCTATGGTTGAAAGCTTGTTGACAGAGATTCGCATACAATTTGAGAGACCCATGAATCTATATTGTAACAATCAGGCTACCATAAACATAGTTCATAATCCAATTTAAAACAATAAAACAAAACACATAGAAGTAGATAGCCATTTTATTAGAGTGTGTTGCAAATGGAGAAATGTGCCTACCAATTGTGATATCCAAAGTCCAACCAGCTGATTGAATGACTAAAGGTTGGAAACACAACCTAAGCAAATTGGGCATTTATGATAAAACAAAACACATAGAAGTAGATAGCCATTTTATAAGTGTTGCAAAAGGAAGAGTGTGCCTACCAATTGTGAAATCCGAAGACCAACCAGCTGATTGAATGACTAAAGGTTGGAACACAACCTGAGCAAGTTGGGCATTTATGATATCTATCTCAGCTTGAGAAGTTTAAGAGGTTAGGGGCACTTTAGTCATTTGATCTATTTTCAAATTTATGTAATTAAATGGGAGAATCAGGAGCCTGTGTGTAACTGTTACAGACATTATATAAGTTAATAGAATGGGCATGTGATCCAAGACAAATTCATTATGGCATTCCCTTGTTCTCTTACTCTTTTCTTCTTTTTTCTTCTATTTCTTCTACACTATTCTCTTCTATTTTCATATTCATTAGTAAGTATTATTGCATAAATTCTGTTACCATCTTGATCCCTATACATTTTTTTAAAGTAACTCTCTCTAATAGAGGAACCATTATCAACCAAGAAAAAGCATTCAATTGTATGACAAGCCAGACACCTGCACCTTCAATTACAGCTCTTCCTCCATTGTTAGAGAATCACCAAAATAGATATTCTGACTGTTTTCTCTTTTTCTCCTTATTTCCTCTTTTCTTCTTCTCTCTTCACCCGAGATTAAACTCCTTAAGACTCTTGAAAGTGTTGCATTGCTTAGAAATCTCTCTGGAAGAGGGGTTGTAATCATGGTAGACGGTGATACAAAATCTTCCAAGAATCTTTTTTTCTAAATATCCCCTTTGCTCGGTGGTGAGAGAATCTTCTAAAAATCATTTTTTCTAAATATCCCCAATATTTTGCCAATATGTTGGAGATATTTCAGATTTCATTGATAGATTATGTATTTAAAATTTAAAATTTTAGAATATTATTAAAAACTTTTCAATATTTCATGAAAATCATCATGATTTTTTAAAACTATTTTCCTAAATGAACAACCAAAGAACTGGTGATTGAATAATTGGCTTAGTCGTTTACTACTTTGATATGATTCGCTTACCAAGCCACTATAGTTAAAAAGAAAAAGAAAAATGCATACAACTACAAAAGCATATTTTCAATGTAATCAAAACATATAGTAACAATATGTTTTGATTACTTACCAAAAAAAAATTATTACTTATCAAAAAAAAGACAGTAACAATAGAGACGAAAGTAAAAAAATGGCAAATATTTGACATATACAAACAAGAGAAGATGGCTAATGACCAAAAGGGAGACAAAGAGAAATATACCTATTACAGTCTCTTAATTTTTCCCATTTCATTTATATAGTTATTTGCTATGGTGTTGAGCCTTAAATGTGCAATTATATTTCTTCTAATGATCTCTTGAAGGTTTATTTAACTAATTCCATGCTTCTAGAAAACATTCCTGATATTTTAGATTTTCCAAATATCTTAGCAAAATTAGAGAAATATCTCTGAAATTTCTCCAACTCTAAATATATTAAATAGGGGTTCAGGTGGTTATGTAACTACCCCTCTTTTAAGTGAATGACACCTGGCCTCTCATTTAATGAGATAGAGAGTCAGGCATGGGATACACTTTTAGTGGCCTAAATGGGCTTTAATTAGCCCATTAGCCTTCTTTTATAGACATGGCCCCACCCCACGTGGATTTTAAACAGACCTTAGGTAATTGGATTGCATGTGCTCCTTTTTTCTTAAACAGATGTTAGATGCAACTGGGTTATCTTATTATAAATTCCGCTTTCAACAGAACATTATTTCCCTTTCTCCTTTTCCCTCCCCTCTCCTTTCTTTATATACTATTTTGCAGGTCAAAATAATGTCTAAGCTCATGAATAACAAATAAGATGCAGCAACAATCAATCAATATTAGAAGATGATGCAATGGAGAAAATGTACAAGTAAAATGGAGAATAGAAAGTACAATGGAAAGCCTTTAATCAAAACTAAGATGGTTCAATAGAGAACATGTTAGTATTCCATGGTATCAGCTTCTCAAATAGGGAAAAAGAAACTTGAAATGGAAAAAAAAAAGAAAGAAAGAAAGAAGAAAATAAAGAAACATGCACACCTGACCAGCACCAACATCAATTATTGTCTGAGATCCAGTACTTTCTGCAATCGATCTTACAACAGCAGCTAGAGTTTCCACCTGTTCAACTAAAGTGTTGGGATAAACAAGTAAAGGGAAGCAGAGATCACATAGAACTGGAGCATAGACTTGATGCTCAGCCCCAAAAAACACAAAAAAAATAAAAAAGTTAGGAAGAAGGAAATTAAAGAAAGAAAAAAAAAAAAACAATGGATTACCAATTTTAAAAACCCCAAGATATAGATTATCCTTTCTAGGGATCTTAATTGGATCAGCCAATAATAACTTGGGGCTCCTATCTTCCCCAAAATCAACCATAGTATGCTCTGATTCCCAATCTATTCATGCTTAGCAAAGAATCTTATTAGTCAATTAACCACCTTTTATTGGGTTTCTCTATCTTAGGGGTACCCATCTTAGCCCAGCCCAGCTTGAAAATTTTCAGGCTTGAGCCTAGTTATTGTGTCCAGGCCTAGCCCGAGCCTAAGCCCGCATCAGGCCGGGAAATTTCCAAGCAGCCCAATAATTTAGGCCCAGCCAAGGTCTGAAACTGACCAGTCCACACATTTTTATATTACATTTTATAATAATTGTTATAAATTTATATGACACATATGATATATATTATATATAATATTTTGTATTATATGAAGTATAACACAAATTTTATACATGTATGTCATAGAATATTATGAATATATATATAGTCATAGACCCAAGAACTTTGGATCGAGCCCTGGGCCAGAGCTACCCTTATGATAGGTGCTAAGGCCAGGCCAGCCCATGATCACCCCTACGTTGGGTTAGTTCAGTCTAACGTTTGCAATATCCTTCAAATTTCATGATATTTCCTCAAACAAAAATTCCATTCTAATGAGTTCGGATTGGCTTTTTTGAAGATAAATAATAAGAAATTTTATTGCTAGAAGGAAAAACAATACAACATAACTAGGTGACAAGATGTCACCCCCTCTGGATTACAGCAATGAAAAGCCACAAAACAAAAGAAACACCATTTCAGAAACAACTCAAACAAGACAAATCACAGCACTCATATCAAGAATTCAGAGAAGACCAAAATTCAGCTCCAAAATCTTTTTTCCGCAGTCCTTGACACTCTGGAAGCAGTAGCACCCAGCCAATAACTGTTGAACTAATAACAGCTACCAGCTCTTCCATACTTTTCTCTTTCTCCTCAAAGATCCTTCTGTTTCTTTCCTTCCATATTTCCCAGCAAACAGCAAAAGGAATACATGTCCAAAGGATCTTGACTTTAACTCCACCTTGGATTCTTGGCCAACTGCTGAAAATTTCAGTCGGATCAACCAAAGGACTCCTGACCACCTTGAATAACTTGAAGAAATAGGACCAAATTGGGTATGAAAAGTTGCAATGGCGCAAAAAGTGAGACATATCTTCCTCAGCAGCACAACACAACACACATCTACTTGGAAACTGCAGCCCTCTAAGTTTCAATTAATCCTGTGTTAAACTGCATCCTCTCACAATCAACTAAGCAAAAGCTTCAGCCCTTGGCGGTACAGGCTTCTCCCAAACACCCCTTACTGTATCAGCCACCACCTGATTTCTGACCAGGTGGTTAACTTAGATAATAGATTAATTTAGTTTATTAATTATTTAATTTATGTAGATTGTTTAATTATTTAGTTAGATTCATTTAGAGATAGTTATTAATAAACTATATTAATTTAATTTATATTATTAATTGTACTTACATTAACATAATCTATAGTATTAAAATTTAATAGTTTAATTAGCTTACATTTGTATATATCAATTAGTTAGTTTAATTTACATTATATATTAATTTAGTTTAACATGTTATCTAATTTATATTTTGGTTATTTACACACATTAAACATATAGGATTGATCTATTGGCCAAAATACGAAGGCGAGTGGATGATGGGTTGGAAGACATTGGATTGAGGAAGATATGAATTTTCAGGGAAAGTGGTGCAAGTGGAAAAGTTCTTTGGGACTTCAGCCTTATCTTGGCCCTAGCCCGTGGGCCAATCGGCAAGGGGACCCTTTGTCCCCCCTCCTTTTCATTTGTGTGATGGAAATTTTAACCATATTTACCAGCCAAGTAGGGGAAGAAGGGATGTGGAAAGGCTTTGAATCTAGCCTAGAGGGAGCAGATTCATTTGCTTCAGTTTTCTAATGACACCCTCTGCTTCATTGATGCTGAAGTGGAGCAACTGGAAGCCCTTCTAGGGGTGCTGAGTTGGTTTGAAGTGGTGTCAGGGCTGAAAGTTAACTGGTCAAAGAGTAGCTTAATACCTGTTAAGTATCTTGGACTTCTTTTGGGAGCCAAATGCACCTCCTCTCTAGTGTGGGACCCTGTGGTGGATTGGATAGAAAGGAAACTGGCCTCCTAGAAATCTAAATACCTGTCCTTGAGAGGTAGAATCACTCTCATAAAGAGTTCCCTTCAAATTTACCTTCTTACTTTCTATCCCTTTTCCCAATCCCATCCAAAGTGGCTCAAAGAATTAAAGAGTTATAGAGAGACTTCTTATGGAGCGTCTGGGAGGAGGAAAAGAAATTACACTTAGTCAATTGGGACCAAGTGTGCATGCCAAAAGAAAAAGGTGGGCTGAGGATTAGAAAGTTAAAAATCTTCAACAAGGCCCTTTTGGGGAAATGGGTTTGGAGATTCAGGAAAGAAAGGGTATGTTGGTGGAGGAATTTAATAGCAGCAAAATAATGGCACTGACAGAGGTGATTGGACAACTTCTTCAAATCTACCCTCCTTGGAGTGTTCCCTATGGAAGAAAATCATGGAGCTTGCTCCACTTTTAAACAGAGGTTTGTCTCTTAGGCAGGGGTCTGGTCTCTTAGGCAGGGAGCTGGCTTCAAATCTACCCTTCTTAACAGGCATTGGCATTTCATGAGAAAAGGATACCAAAGCATGCAAAATGCAACTTGAAATTAAAATCACTAACTTACTTCATGTTTTTTCTTCATATTCATGCCTTGGGTAAGAACAGTATCAAGTGAAGCCACATGCAAATTGGGCAACATCTGCAAAATATTAAAAAGGTCAAAGTGCAGCCAAATAATTAAAAACAACTTATCATTACAAATCTAATATCCATGATTAAAAGGCATGACAAACCACTATAAACATGGTAAAAACAGCAATGTTGATAACAAAAGATGATCTACCATGTAAGCACCTTGGGCAAGGCTCCTATTGGTCTTTCATGTCTTTCATTAGAAATTATAGTCAAGGATAAATAAACAAATAAAAAAAATCAGATGATTAGTCACTTAAAAAATGAGACTATTCTATTGATAAATGAAATAAATATTGCATTTCAAAATAAAAGCAACCATTAAAGGATATGAAAGAAACAACAGACATAACAAGAAACTATACTCCTTTAAAAAGTGTGAATGTGCCTTTGAAGATTTCTAGACTTTTTTTTGTGACTAAAGCACCCCTATTTGTTAATTTGCACCCATTTCTTTTGATCAATAACTCTGAAAATTTTCATTAATTAGGATGCTTTAATATACAACAAGAAGTTACAAAGAAATCAGCATAGAAGCCCCCATTTTATTGTGAGGGTGAAAACATAACCAACTAATCAACTCCAAATTCTCTCATTAACTCCTAATTGGCATAATCATTAGGGGCATGCATACACTAACTAACAACACTAACAGCATATGATATGCAAGGCCTACATAAACAAAGCAACTGGCCAACCAATTTCTAATACATAGCCTTTTTTATAAGTAACTTTGAAATTTTAATAAGAATAAAGCAGCACTATATACATACAATACAAGCATCCCTTAGGTGCAAATTGCACCTCTGACATCATAAAAGACAGATTACAACTGATCCCAATACAAATGCCCCCTATTAACCCCTTGCTTAGCTAAGAAATCAACCAGCCTGTTTGTGGCTCTTTGCACCTATTGTTTCCTAATATTCATCATATTACTCAACAACCATTTGGACCTCTTTAACTTCCTTCCTATAGGTCTATACCACAGTTTCCACCTTTCCTAACCAACCCACCAACACCTTGGAGCCCCCTTCAATAATCAGTCTATCCAAATTCAAGTCTCTCGGTAGATGCATCCCTTGAATTACCACCGCAAATTCCACCATTGTAGAGCCACCCCCCCCCACCCCAGCTGGACCAAAGAACAATGCAATAATGGTGCCACCTTTATCTCTAAAAACTTACCCTGCTCCCAAGGGACCCGGATTACCCCAGCTGCTACCATCAAAGTTTAATTTAATAAAGCCTCTAAAGGAGGTGACCAAGATTTATGTACAGATTTCTTTTTTGAAGAACTCTTTGCCACCACACCCCAATTTCTCCACACATCATCAAAAGTAAAAGGTGAGAAGATTTCCAAGGATCTAACTAGGGGTGCAACTTGGGCAGCCCAACCCGAGCCCGAATCGACCCAGCCCAAAATTTTACACAGGCTGGGCTTGATGCCAAAGAAATTGAGCTTTTTTAATTTTTTGGGCTGGACCCGGGCCTAGCCCTTAGGTAGCCCGAACCTGGCCTGAACCCGGCCCAACTTTGTTCCAACCCAAGCCCAATGCAATTATACACATTCATATATACATACATATTTACATATATACATACATATTTGCATACATATTTACATACATACATATATGTATACATATTTGCATAAATGCATACATACATGTATAATTTTAGAGCGGGTTCATTGACCAACCCGAGCCCGGCTAGGGCTCGAGCCTAACCCGAGTGCATCAAATTACAATGTGGACTGAGCTCGGGTTAGGAAGATAAGGCTTGGCCTCGAGCTCGGGCCTTGGGCTCAAATCTTAAGGTTGGGCCTGGTTTGACCATAAACCCAAGGTTTAAAATTTCATTGTATCGTATCTTTTAAAAACAGATACGGGATACGCATGGAAATCATGTGTATCGTCCTTTTTCATGAATATCGGGGGCATATCGGGGCGTACCGGAGGTGTATCGGAGGTGTATCGGTAGTGTATCGACGAAAAAGATACGGCCAAAAACCGAAAAAAAAAATAAAGGGAAAAGTAAGATTCTTTCAACCCCCAAATGACTCTAAAACTCCAAACCTTATTCGTAGAGTGCTAGATTTGCAAAATTTTGCAAGAAACAAGTGTGAATCGTTATTTTTTTTAAGATTTTTCAAATTTTGAAAAAATATGGTAAAAAATAGGTAATTTTTTTCAATTTTTTATAATATCATATGATTTCTTTTTTCTTGAATGTATAAATTTATGTTAATCTACATTTCTTACATCCAAAATCACATTTTTTTGTGTTATCTGTAGATTTATTGAAATTTCATGAGATATTTGGGGAAAATATAAATTAACAAAAAATTGAAAAATAAAATTTTTTCTCTGCATATAAAGACTAAATATGTTTTAGATCTATAGATTTATCTATCATATCCATAGAGCAATTGAAATTTCTTCTTTAATATTTTTTTTTATTTTTATATTTTTAGAATAAAAATAAATAATAGTTAATTATATTTTATCGTTTGATCACAATGATTGAATATATTATAATTCTATGGATCATCTATTATATATTCCACAAGGCAATTGAAATTTCTTCTTTAATAAATATTTTTTGTATATATTATGTAATGCTTATTTATTTTTTTATATTTGTTGAAAATAAATAATAAATAATTATTGTATATTTTCACTTAGAAGTTGTGTTAATGCATATTTTATGGTTGGATAAGAGAGTTAGTTTTTTCCCATCCCATTAAACATTAAAACTTAAGAATTACAACTTATAGTTAAGTATGGGATTTTTAATGAAATTATAATTAACTACAATATAATTCTTCATAAAACCATTAAAATATATTAATTTAATGTATATACACCTCATTTAGGTCTTATATTTAGTGTTGTTATGTATTTTTATGATTTATTAAAGTATTTATAGTGTTTTAAAGTGTATCTATGTGTATCTTAGTTTTTCTCCGATACGCATATGTATCCAAGGCGTATCTTGATACATCTCTTAAAATTACCTTTCCGATACTTAAAACCTTGCATAAACCCAGCCCAACCCACCTAACTTGCACCCCTAGATCTAACCCAATGAATCACCCCGATCATAGCACATTTCATCACCAATTCCTTAATTCTTCTTTTTCTAGGAAGATTCTTGCATTTCTCCCTTCCCAGATTGTCCAAATCATTGCTGCCCTTGTGCACCTCCAAGGGAAATAAGTGTATCAGCTAGCTTAACAACCAACTTTCTAGTCCTTGTAGAGGATCAAGAACATACTTTCTCTGAGAAATAAAGATACCACATTCAGACCTAGTTACTTCAATAGTGAAAAAATATTTCAAGTCTCCCTAATCTTTTATGTCAAACTCCATGCTAAGAAATTTGTTTAATGAAACAACCACAGCTTCATTATTCCCAATTACAACTATGTCATCCTAGAACAAGACTGCTCATAACCGAAACCATAACAATGCACCTTTTAATCTATCAAACTAACCACTCGATGATTGTTTCAACCTATAATAGGCTTTCTTCAACCTACAGACTTTCTTCCCCAGCTCTTCTCTAATAACAACTTGGGGGCAATTCTTGTAAATCACCAAAATCACCATTGAGGCATGCATATTTTACATCCATCTAAAACAGTGACCAAGAAAAGATGGAAGCAAGAGATAAAAGGACTCTAATAGAGCTCATATTGGCAATTGGTGCAATGATCTCAAGATAGTCAACACCATAAATTCAAGTATACCCCTTTGCAACCAATCTAGCCCTGTACCTTTCTACAACCCCATCAGCATTATACTTTACTGTAATTACCCATCTGCACCCCACAGTCTACTTCCTTCCATCTAATCCACCAACTCCCATATATCCTTTTTAACAAGGGCATCCATTCCCACCTTCATTGAAATCTTTCCATTCAAGGAGGAAAGTGGTGGCAAAAATCTTGCATATGTTAACTGGGTTCATGTGCATCAAGATTTCAATGATATAAGAAGAGAATATTTAGAGAAGCTATGGATATCCCTTGGTTTAGACAGTGTACTAGATTGAAAAATCTTTTTTAACAAAATTTCTCTTTTACTATAAAAAATTAAAACATATATACAGCAACTCCCTACATTTACTAGCTTTACAAGAGGACAATAGGACCCTATTTGGCTATTTTATTTCAGATAGGTTAGGAGGTCCGCTAATGGTTTAGCAAATGGGTTAGCTAAACAAGGAGTAAATAGGCATCATTTGTTTTTGGGCTCAATTTTAATAGGTGGGTGGACTCAGTTGTAATGGGTGTTATTTCTAACAACTTCTTGTTGTACTCTCCTATTATTATGTTTTAATAAAAATCGTTGAGTTGCTGATAAAAAAAAAAGACCCTATTTTGTTAATGCAAGAGTACAATACATAGATGTGCAAGTGGTAAATCAAAAAAAGGGATAAAACAAATAAAATGATAGCACCTCTTTAGATTGAATGCAACAATATATAAAAGAGAGAAAATGTAAATAAATGTCCAAATTACAGAGCAAAAAAAAGAATAGTGAAAGGGCAAAGACCCTAAAAATGACTGATCACAGAGGAAAAAAAGAGGGGGCAAAGCCCTTGATCGAAGTGATGCTTTGTTTTGATTAGACAAATATAGAAATAAATGATTAGAGAGAGGGAAAAAAAGAACAAACAAAGGGGCAAAGCTGCTTAACTTCCATCGAAAAAAATGATGCTTTGCTTTGATGCTTTTATAGGAAAGGATAATTTAAACGGAAATGAAAATCAAGTACAACTCTTGGTGAAGAGTTTTCACCACAAAGAAAAACATATACAGCCTATAACAATCAACCCCCAAAGCCATAAGCTCTAAGGAAAAAAGTTACAAAGATCCAAAAGCTACTAGTTGAAGTCCCACTGAAAGGAACACATTACTTTCCCATTGCTACAGTGGTTTACTCTAAAACCACATACGGCTCTCTAAATTGAAAATTGGATTCCTTTACATTGTTTTACCCTCAATTATAATTATTCATTTTTGGGTCAGCTTTCAGTCTATAAATAAATTCATTGTAACTGGAATTTAAGAGTTGATTAATGGGATGCAATGTTTGGTCTGCAAGTAAGAATGATCCTTTTCCTTATTCCTCTTTCTCTATCTTTTTCTTCTAAGGGTGCAATGTTTCTTCTCTTCCTCATCTCTATTACATCTAAATTACTTCCTCTCATAATTCAAATCCTCGATTCCACCTTTTTACCCACCAAGTTCCTTTTTCTCCCTCCCATCCTATGTCATAAAGGCAGTGCATTATTGCATTTACAAACACAACTTTAGCTGTTAAACCATGAAGCAACTTGAAAATATCTAAAGGTGGGACTCTTATAATACTGAATTCAAATCCTGCGATCAATTAGTTGAGTTGAGCTAAGACTGAGCAAAGAAAGCCCAAATGATCAAACTGCTCAACAAATTATGCAAAATGTAGAAGTACGGGTCCATTTGGTTCACAGTCGTTATCAGAATCAGAATGGTCTATTCCTTTCAGTTGTTTGGTTCAGTCTGGAATCAGAATCGAAATCAGAGTTGGGTGGAATGAATTCTCATTCCTAGGGGAGGGGGAGGGAAGGGCCATTCCCTCATATTGGGGAATGCCATTCCACCAGGAATGGGAATTGGATTCCGATTCTGCCCAACCAAACAGTTGGAATCGGAATGGTCCATTCCAATTCCGATTTCCCTATTCCTACAAACCAATTGGATAAGGTCTTTCTTGTGTTGAGTTCCCATATATTCTTCAGGTAGCCTTGATAAGCATTATCTTTGGAAATACTTCTAATGGTAGAAGGATGAGGAACCCTACAGCCTAGTGTTAGACAGTGTATGCCCTTAGCTCCAATCAAAATGATGTACATTATGGCATTTAATGTAAATGAATAAAGTACATATTTGATTCATGTTATTATATGTGTTTCTGTGTAATACTCTTAAACTTGACACATATGAAACTCGTGTTAGTTTAGAATCTTCACAGCCATTGGATAGATCTGGGGAGATTTATCTTGCCAAGGCTGACACTAATGTGCCGCCAAGTTGGTTGGGTGGCTTGTCTCAGCTGCTAGGGTAGGACCTGAGGTACATGCAGTGTGGGTTTTCTTAAAACCCTGAACCGGACCAAAATTTCAATATTGCCCTAGACCTTGGAGATACATGTGCAAAACTGGAATGTTACACCTGACCCCTACACTCGATTATGATACTATACTAGGTGTTGGATTGGGCTATCTTTGATATGCCAATTAGTGAGATCCTTAAAGGGGGTCAAAACCTAGGTATGTTGGGACAGTCCGAGAATCCATCTGAGTGGGTGATCATAGTAACAAGATCATCCCCTTTGTCAGACAAAGTGAATGATCGTGGATGCACTCTCTCTGATGGAAACTTAAACTGCCGCAGTTGATTTCAACCGTTGAAATTTGTTTTTGCAAAATATATTTATATAGAAATATACATATATATATTATGGTTTCAAAATGTTTGCAAAAGGTTTTAATTCTCAGGATCCATGTGAGTAGAGAGTGCAGCATTGTACCTTGCAGCTGAGAGAAAGGTCCTCTCTTGTCGGGTAGTGTTTGATCATTATGGGCTAAGAGGTTAAGTGTAAGACCATTGAGAGTAATACTTGATGGGCTAATCTTGCATCGGTCCACAGTCCTTGGATTTTTATAAGGTGGCTTGACCCAATGACCATTTAGTGTAAATGTTAGGCCCATTAAGAGCCCATGGTGATGGACTCAGGGGTTCACTRTYTCCTACAGTGARTTCGGCCAGGCCTTGTAACAGAGGCTGGGCTGAACCCATGTGGCTGATGTGTAGATCAATGTTTGGGTCCCATGCCATACAAGGATAGCCAACTGGGCAACAGTTAGGAGGTTAAGTGAGCACATAGACTTAATGGGCCTAAAGCCCAATTCGAACCGACTTAATAAAACTTATTAATTAGGGGCGGTTCTAGGATTTAGATTAGCAGATAGGATAAGGAATTATCCCTATCCACTCAGAGAGTCCAGATCCAAAATAAAGATTTGGATCAGGAAACTCCTAATTTGATTAGAAAAGCTAATCTTTATCTACAGATAAGATAAGAAATTATCCTTATCTCTTAAAGAGAGTCCAGATCCAAATACAAGATTTGGATTAGGAAACTCCTAATGGAATTAGGAGATGCTCTCTTTAAAGGCTATAAATAGAGGAGTAGGGAAAACCTCCAAGAGACAACAATCAATTCGCAAATTACAAAGAGAGAAGAATCTACAGTTTGACTACTCCTGTCTTCTGCTCTTGCCGCCCCTATCAGTTCGATCTCCACCTGTATGAGTGGTCAAGAAAGGTTCTTGATATTACCTTTTGGTAGAAAAGGTAATATGAAGTCATGCTCACCAGCCCTCCATCACATTCTTGCTAAAGAATTTGGTTCTTACTGAAGAGCCATCCTGCTGATTCTGCTCCACCTCACACTATGTCATTTTCAGTGGGAGTAGTCTTTGGTTTCTCCTTGGGTGTGAACACCTTCGTTGGGAGTTACTGTTACTCCATATCAGGTATATCCCTCTCTAAACTTTTGATTTCAGATCTGGTCCAGTTTGGTTTCAAGATTGATCCTTAAAAATGCAGTTTTCTAAAATAGGGAATGTGATTCCCACATGGGAAAGAGAGATGAAGGGATGGGATATCCATCACATGGACGTCCAAATCTTGCGGAATGGATAGGGCCAATTTCAAAAATTTCTCCCATCTTTGCAGGGAATAGAATTCCCTATTTCAGAAAACATATTTTCAATGATCAATCTTGAATCAAGAACCAAATTAGATCTGAACCAAAAGAAGTAGGAGGGAGGATATACCTGATACAGAGAATCAATATCTCCCAATGGAGGTGTTCACGCCCAAGGAAKGATCCAAAATCTGCTCCCACTGAAAATGACGCAGTGCAGGATGGAGCAAAATCAGCAATGTTCTTCCAAAAGAACTTGACCCTTCGCAAGAATCAACTGGATGACTTGTGAGTACAGCTCCAACCAATCTTTTCCCAAAAGATTGGAATCAAGATCAGATCTTGATTTCTCCCAAAAACTGGAGAACGAACTAAAGGCAATGGCGGCGACAAGAAGGAGGCGACAGGAGAGAATTCGCAGGGTGCAGAAATCTCTCTTTCTACGATTTTTCTTAGCTCTGAAGAGAATCAGATTTGTGTCTTTCTTAGGCTGTCGCCCCCTTCTTTTGTTAAC